TGGGGGAAAGGATCTCATAGGAATCTGAGTTTTGATGCTTCAGAAAAATTAATTAGCTTGATTTGATATTGACATGTGGGAATTCCAAAAATGTACTCTTAAATTCAGATTATAATTTTTATGCTTCCACATATACATACTAAAGACAAAGCTATAAGAGAATTTTCTTTACAAATTCACTTTTATTCACCCAAAGAGCAAAGGAACATGAGATGCTATGGATCAGGACTGGGATTAGGGTGAGGAAAGAGAGGTTTGCTAGCACAAAATTAAAAGCAGAAAGCACTCATGTGCAGGGTCCTGCCAGTGCAGAGTCAGTCTTAACAAGAAATCTCTTTAAATGCAACACCCAGGGCACCTCTTCACCTCACCTTTACTCTGCCCAGCACTGAATGTTTAAGAAAAAAACAGTTCTGGATTACATCTGGCTCTGTATACGTGAGATCCTCTGTAACAAATGTTTGATAAATTGCTTCTGGTTTAGTAAATTTTGAACGCTAAAATCATGAGAGGAATATATACAAAGAGAGTATGCCTTTTGGGAGTAAAGGGTAAATAATACAGGAAGAAGAGAGATGAAACATAATTAGCATATTAAAATGATTGCTAAAGAAAAGCTTTCATTTTCATTCAAATTAGAAGTAGCTCTCATAACTAAACTGTTCCATTATCCATAGCTATTAACTTATATACATTTGCTAACTTCAAATAGCTTCTTTCATGGCATCTTTCTCCAATTCAAATGAGCTAAGTGAACAGGAGAAAAGCAATCAGGTAAGTTGTAAGCTAACGTCCATCCTTTGCAGACAGATCCTTTGGAGATTAGTGCCTGAAGATGACTCTTCTTAGTTCCTTCATCTAGATTGGTGGTTTGTCAAGTAAATGCACAGTTAAGCATTTCCCTCTTGTCTTTTTGATTCCACTTCCCCTTCTCTGTACATTTTGTAGGATGTTTAAGAGCTGTTATCCATCTATTTTGGGTTGGTGGTAGATTTTTTTTCTTCTTTCCTTTCACTTTAGGAAAATTTTTACCTACCAAACTATTGGGTACTAGAACTAAGAATTTCATATACTCATGAGAGCCTAAGAAATCTTGGTTGTGGTTGTGACTTACTTATAAAACTATTTGTTATGGCCCCTAAATGAGGTTTCACATGTTTTGCAACAACAGCAGCAAAACAAATCATTCCAAGCTGTCATAAATTAATGATGTTTGGGTAGAAAGATGTTTTTGTATAGAGTGATAAAAGGTTGTGGCTGCTCTCAAAACAACATGCTTGAATTTTCTGAGTAAAATATTCAAAATTATGAAAAAAATCACCAATAAAAATGATGGGGTAAGAATACAGCTCAGCAGCAGAGCACTTGGCTGGCAGTTCAATCCCCAGCACCATATGGACAAACAAACTATTCTACGTAAAACTATTAATAAATAAAAATAACCCTAAATGACTTAACCTCTCCCCTATGTTAGGAATACCTATAATTAGAGCCAGGAATGGTGGCACACCTCCCAGGAGGCTGAGGCATGAGGACAGAGAGTTCAAGGATAGCCTAAGCTACATAGAGACTCTGTCTCAAAAAACAAAAACAAACAAACAAAACAACCAAATAAACAAAAACCCTAGAGACTATATGAAATTTTTTCTAATTATAATCTTTAATAACTTCAGAGTTTAAAATATCAAGTTAAAATACTTTGTTTGTAATTAAAGCCATTTGAGAATACAGCTGAAACACTGCCACTGTGCCCCTAAAAGCTTTGCTTTCCTAAATATGATTACCTAGAACTCTTAGCTCCACAACAAGTAAAAATAGCAATAAAGTTTATGAGGGAAATCATTGTTGAAAAATTTCCACAAATGTTTCTATGAAAACATTTACCAAGAAACCCCAATTTAGGGCTGGGAACAGGGACTCACACCTGCAATTCCAGCTACTAGGGAGGTGGAGAAAGGAAGGTGGTTCCAGGCAAAAAGTTAGTGAGATTCCCACCTTAACAAACAAGCCAGGTGTAAGGGTGGATGCCTGTAATCCCAGTTACAATGGAGGCATAGGAAAAAGGATCACAGTCTGAAACCAGCCTGGGCAAAAATCATGATACTTTCCCTGAAAAATAAACTAAATTAAAAAGGGCTGGGGCCATGGCTAGTGATAGAGGGTTTACCTAACAAGCACAAGGCCCTGAGTTCAAATCTCAGTAGCATCCTCCCAAAGAACTCTTTAATTTCATTTTACATGAATGCTTCTTTGAAAGCATTTATTAAGAAGCCTCCAAATTAATTTTATTGACCTTAGCACAAGAATCCACACACACAAGAAATATACATACATGCACACATTCATTACACTACCCATTTTCATCTTTTGATCTCCTTAAAAACATTTTTAACCTGCACTGGTCTAAAATTTTCACTTTGGGTCAAATACATAATCTATGTTGGAGAGATAAAGGTCCATAAATAAATTACATAATCTCACTTTAAAAAGCATCAACATTGCAATGTAAACTCATGGTCATCCAATGTATTGAGTAAATAGTTCAGATAAACACCATTTATATAAATTTTCCCGCATTCTTTATTGGTGACTGTGTAGGTTCTTTGACTCAACTTCTTAAAAGTTAAATGTGGAACTATTTTCATTGAGATTTTATAAAATTGCATGAATGTCACAGTTATAATTGAGTCAAAAGAAATTTGGTAACTTAGATAAAACGGGCCAATTCCTTGAATGACACAACCTGTCAAAACACACACAAGAAAAAATAGACACATATCTTTAAAGAAGTTGAATGAATAATGAATAACATTCCAAAACAGATAGTACCAGCACACATGGGTTCACTGGTGAGTTCTACCAAATATTTGAGGAAGTTATTATAGCAATTCTGTACAATCTCCTTCAGAAGACACAATACTCCTTAACTTGTTCCATGAGGCCAGCATTACTCTGACCCAAACCATAAAGACTGTACAAGACTACATACCAATACTTTTTATGAAGGTAAATGTAAAACCCTCAATAAAATATTAGTACACTGAATCTAACAACATACAAAGAATTATACACTAAAACTAAGTAGGATTTAACCTGGGTGTGCAAAGTGGATTTGAAAATCAGTTAATGTAATCCATCACATCAAGAGCTGAAGAAGAAAAATCAGATGATCATATCAAAAGATTCAGAACAAGTACTTGATAAAACCAATACCCATTCATGATAAAAACTCTCAGTAAACTTGAAATAGAGGGGGACTTCCTCAACTTCAATAAAAAAAAATCTACAAGAACCCTACAGATAATGTCATATTTTATTGAAAGAAACTCGAATACTTCCCACTAATATCAGGAAAAAGAAAAGGAAATCTTCTCTCACCATTCCTTTTCAACATTGTACTGGAATTCCTAGCATTTGCAATAAGCCAAGAAAAGGAATAAAAGGCATACAGATCAGGAATGAAGAAACAAAGCTATCCTTTTTTCATAGATAACATGATCATCTATGAAGAAAATCAAGCAATCATAGAAAAGTTACAGTGCATAAAAAATACATAAAACTCCATTGCTTTCTCATTTGAAAATGTGAAACAGTATCACTTACATTAGCACCAAAGAAATGAAATACTTAGGTATAAATCTAACAAAATGTGTACAAATTTTGTATGAGCAAAACTACATAATTCTGATGAAGGAAATCAAAAGGGAAGCAAACAAATAGAAATATCCTATGCTCATGTATGGGAAAAGTTGATATTGTCAAGATGCCAGTTTTTTCCAACTTTATAGGCATAAAGTGATCCTAATCAAAATACCAGCAAGTTGTTTTCAGAATAAAAAGTTTATTTGAAGAGGTAAAAGGGCAAGAAAAGCCAACACAAAGAGAAACAAAAAACAGAAAGAGAACAAAGCCACAGGATACACAGTACCCAATTTGAAGACTTACTATAAAGCTACAATAATCCAGACAAAGAGGTCAAAGACTAGAGAAATAAATCAATGAACAATACAGAGCCCCAAAAAGACTTGCATGTCTATAACCAACTGATCTTTAACAAAAGGGCAAACACAATAGGACAGAGAGAAAGCTGTCTTTTTAACAAATGGTGCTAGAACAGACTAAAAATGAATTTACACACAGACCTCATCACAGACATGAATGCAAAACACAAAACATTATGTTCCACACTACAGGTCTTTAAGGAAATGTAAACTAAAACAATACCTATCTACCTGTTACAATGACCAAAATCTAGAACACTGACAACACCAAATGGTGGCAAGGATATGGAGCAACAGGAACTCCCATTCATTGCGACATGAATACAGTAGGGTACAGCCACTTTGGAAGACAGTTTGACAATTTCTTATAAAAGTAAACATACTCCTGTCATATGACCCAGCAATCTCAATACTTGGTAAAGGAGTTGAAAACTTATGCCCACATAAAAACTTGCAAATGGATGTTTATAGCAGCTTTATTAATAATTGTAAAAACTTGGAAGCAACCAAGATATCCTTCAGCAGGTGAGTGGATAAACAAATTATAGTATAGTCAGACAACTGAATAGTATTCATCACTAAAAAATGAGCTACCAAGCCAGGAACAGACATGGAGTAATGCATATTACTAGTGAAAGAAGCCAATGAGAAAAATGCTACCTACTGTATGATTCTAACTATATGACATTTTGGAAAAGGCAAAACAATGGATTAAATCTGTAGAGCAAAAAGATCAGTGACTGCCATGAGTTATGACTGAGAAAGGGATGAATACCCAGAGCACAGAAGATTTTTACGATAGTAAAATTTTTGTATGATACTGCAATAGTTGATAGGTGTCATTACACTTTTGTCAAAACCCAAAGAATGTACCTCAACAGAACACCCTAATGTGAACTGTGGACTATGGGTGGTAATAATTTTTTTAATACAGGTTCATCAACCATAACACATGTACCACTTTGGTAGGAATGCTGATAATTGGGGGGAGGGCTTTAAATGTATATGGGGAAGGGGGTCTGTGGAACTTTCTACTTTCTGCACAATTTTGCTTGAACCTAAAACTGTTAAAAATAGTCTACTGAAAAGAAAACAAAACAACAAAACCACCAAAAGCTACAATAGCAAGTTTTATATTAATTTTATTAAAGAATATGTATTATATAAAATTTCATAATTTTAAAGGTACATAATTACTTATACATAATGCTTCTAGTCTAGTTTATGCATTACCATGAATCCTTTTGGTCCACAGACCTGTCGTTGTTTCCTCCCCTAAGGCCTGATGCAGAATATAAGCACCTCCATGAAGAGAATGACAAGAAATGAAGGATACTCAGCTATTGCTGATGATGCTGAGAGGTGTTCAGCACCACTAACACATTATGCAAACATAAATGAGAAAATAAACCAGACGAGCCATCTTCATGAGGTTGTTACCATAAAGCGTATTTTATATCCCTATAGATTTAACTGCTAACAGGCTACACCCATTACTTAACTACTACTGGGTTGTCTGTGGTGTCCTCAGTATCTGGCTTCTAGTCTCCACTCTTTGAAATACTCCTCCATTGTGCTCCGAGACCTCCAGGTGCCAACATTTACAGTAGGTATGATTTTCTGGGGCTTCAGCCACTGGACAAAACGTTTCATCTCTAGATAGCTGCTATGTTCACTGTAAGGAATTCCTGCAAGACCAAAGAGATGACACTGTCTACTAAAAGTCAAACTAATAAAAAATTCTTGAGTGCAAAATAAAATAAAATAGAAAAGCAATCTAGAATATTTTTGTCAAAAACTCCTCTGTGCTTTAGTTCTTATAAGAAAACTTGGTATCTTTTATGGATAATAAAGAGTAAAACATTAGAATGATACAAAACTTAGAATGCTATAAGTCTTACTACTTTTCTATGTGTAAACTTAGTAATATGCATTTCTAGAGAGTCCTATTTAATTGAGATTTTCTTTTTAAACAGTTCTTCCTGTTAAACATTTTGCTCAGATTTCTAGAGCAAGTAAGCAGATTCCATACAACAAAAATTTTTTGCATACAAAAAAATAAGAAAAAAGTAAAACATGTAATCCTGAAATCCCTTTATCTTCCTTATTAAACTCTCTTAGGGTTGGAAGAGTCCTGTTTTGAGCAGTCTTCAGAGTTTGAGGGTAAATTAGTGTCTAGTGACAGCTGTCACAGCAATAGGCCAGCTCTGAGGGCAATCGTGAGCCCCCTAAGGGATGAAAACACTTCCTGCTGTCTCATCTCATCTGCCCCTTCCTGCTGGCAACCTCACACAGGTCGTCTGGACTTCTCCAATAAAACAGCAGCATTCCTACTTTCAAGTAAGTCTACATTTTCCTCTAAATATCATTACAAAAATGAAGTGATCTGTGATAGTACTTATCAACTGACCAAGTTCCTTTATATCAGTTCGGCAGCTGCAGAGAGATCTGAAACTGTTGAACTGTAAGTTCTTTGTTTCTCTCACATCTTGATTCTATAGCACTTTTATGAAATTTAAGGTAACAATACACATTAAAAGTGAGATAATTTAGGGCTGGCAGAGTGGCTCAAGCAGTAGAGTGCCTGCCTAGCAAGCCTGAGGCCCTGAGTTCAAACCCTAGTACCACAAAAAAAAAATTGAGATAATTTAATAATTATACCATATATTGAAATATTTCCTTTGGTCTGGGGAGTAATATCTGTTATCCTACTGAACTTGCTAGAGTGTGTCCATCCTGTAGGTCGAAAAGCCAGAATCTGATCATATTGACCACCACACTTCTTTAAATGACTTCGTAAACCCTGTTAAATAAAAATAGCACATTGATTTAATAGTCACTGGAGACAGGGTATATGAAATTAAATGTAATGATTAAAATGCTATATTGGCATAGCCACAGGGAGTTTTTGCCTGCTTAGATCAGCTTGCCGTGCCTCTAAATAAATAGCACTGAAAAATTATAAAATCTTTTTTTCCTTTACTTATCTAAACAAGCTTAGGTACTGTCTGGAAAAAATATGATGAAGTAATGTGAAACATAATTATGTAAAACAAATTATAACCCATAAAGCTAAAAAAGAACCAACCACCTCTCTTCAAATTCTTCAACACAGACACTAACACTTAAGATAAACATCAATGAAAACATAACTCCATGCAAACGGCCAACAGACTGACAGAAAGAAATGGTTTTATAAGAATGGCATTATTCCCGGCAAAGATGTACATTTGAAAGAGAGCAGCACTCTTGTCAGGAATGTAAAGGAAGCATTACTTCCTTTAATTCGCAAACTTTTATGCCACTGCAACCTAAAGTAATATGCTCCCCTTATAGAATGTCAAATAAAACTCCAACTGGGGTACAGGCAAGGTGGCTCATGTCTGTAATCTCAGCTGTTCAGGAGGTAAAGATTGGGAGGATTATGGTTTGAGGCCAGCACAGGCAAAAAGTTAGCAAGACCCCCATCTCAACAAAGAAGCTGGGTGTGATGTTCTATTCTAGTCATCCCAGCTACACAGGAGATATAAATGGGAGGATCCCAGTCCGTCCAAGCCAGCCTGGGAAAAAAATGAGACCTTATCTGAAAAATGACTAAAGCAAAAAGAGTTGGGGGCATTGCTCAAGTGGCAGAGCACTTGTCTAGCAAGTGTGAGACCCTGAGTTCAAATGCCAGTGCTGCCAGAACAAAAATCAAGCAAAAAAATTTCTCAAACTCATAATAAATGGTGACATTTGATGAAACTCTTAGAAAATCAATCACCAAAGTTTGATCTTTGGAAGATAAGAGAAATCCAGTTAAATATAATAGTGGCATGACGGATTTAAAAAAAAATCTAATCCTTTTTGTCAAAAAATAATTTAAAAATTCAAAAGAAATCTCAAAAACAAAATTTTTAAATTCCTACACGTTATATAGCTCAGTTGATAAAGAGAAGCTCTCAGTCCTGAGTTATCGACAGCTGGTTTAAATCATGTGATCTGCTCAGTGTTTCCTGACCTTCATCTTCTGAAAATATGCTTCCTAAAAAGCAAATGGTGCCCCCAATGCAAGGAAAAAGTGGATGGTTTAATTTAATTGATATAGTTGCAATCTGATATGTGTTGAAAGACACATCTTTAGCAAAAGTTAGTGTTATGGGAAAAATGAACTGAACTCTGCATTCTGAGCAACCAGTTTTTCTCAGTGGTATCTCTTTGGAACCACAGACCCTCAGGTATCAAGGATCTACTAGAATAATAAAATTTACTTTGTTGATTAAAGAACAAATCCTTGATTTGTCTTTTGTACCAATTAATAAGCTTTCATTAGTTTGAACTCAATGCAAGAAAATCTATCACAAAACAGTCATATTTCTAACGAACTACCATGCCCATCAAAAAAAAAGTTAAAGTTACAGATGCATAGCTACATTTCTACTGTAACACTCCCGGTTCTGCAAATTTTCATACTTATCTTGGTTAGTCTAGGCCCTAGTTAATGTAATGTTATTGTCTTAATTACTTTGCCTTCACAAAGAAAGGAAATAATAGGTTAATATGTAACTACTATTTCAAGGGTTTTTTTTGTAGGACTAGGGTTTGAACTCAGGGCTTTACACTTGCAAAGTAGATGCCAAACCTCTGGTTCATTTTGACCTGGTTATTTTAGAGATGGGGTCTCTTGAGCTATTTGCCTGGGTTGGCCTTGAACAACCATTCTCCTGATCTCAGCCTCTCAAGTAGCTAGGATTACAGGCATGAGCTACTGGCATCTGGCTTACTTGGAGCTTTTATACATATAATACCATAAACTCAGAGTCCAATTTTCATTATACCCCATCAAACTTATCAAGTCCTATTTGTTTCTTCAACGAGAACTAATTTTTACTTTATATGAGACAAATTAGTTACCATAAAAACATCATGTGGCATAAATTAATATCATAAACAAAAACCTTATGATGATGTTATATAAGCCAAATCTACAGAAGAGACTGCCAACAACCACTAGCTGTCCATTAACTACAATTTCAGAACTACTCTCACGAGGAAATTTCTTATAAACAGTTCAGTCAACACAAAATCCCCGATCTACAAGTAAAATACTCTCTTTCCCTCTCCCTGTTTATTAGTAACCAGTTAGTGAGAATGCTTTAGCAACCTCAGTAGAATTGTTTTCAAATTCAAATAGCATGTACAGCATCACTGTTACAATGTTTACCACATCTGGCCAATCTGGTTTAAAACACAAAGCACATACAGGACCTTGGGATGAGCTAGATAGCACAAATGGTATCACTGATGGCATTTCAGAGGCTTTGAAGAATGTCTTGGATACCCTGAAGATGGTACTAGGTTTACCCTTTCACAAAACATCATTACTTCTGATGTAACAAAACTATTTTTGGCTGGTAAAAAAATCAGCTATAATTAGTAAAACATAGCATGACAATGATTATTAGCTTCTACTCCCTCTGCATTTTGAAGATAAAAAAAGTCAACAGGAAAAATCATGTTTGGTCCCTTTAATGGAGGAAGGAAGGGACTACTGAAGGCAATACCAGTAAACACCTGTTCTAGTATTAGGCAAGGTATGTTGGATCAGAGAAAGAGGATTCAGACCTCAGCTGTGGGAAGTTTATAGCCCACACCAGCAAGACAGGCCAGCAAGCCTGGCCTTCTGGGTTTCTGTGGAATCGATCTGTCCTTCCTTGGCCTTCTCTAACTCTCATCATCTAGGAGCTTTAGAGGTTAGCATTTTCACAATGGACTCATTTTCAGTGTTAAATTCCTAGAAGTAATGCAATACAGACTTGGTGAATATTAGAAATACAGGCTTAATGACATCAGATCACTACTTTTTCAAGGATACCAGCCTAAAAAATATGTACAACACACATTTCTGAATCCTTAAAAGGAATAAGAGCTCTTATATAGAAAATTGCACTTGAGTTTATAGTTGTCTGAAGACTTAACTCTTGTTTAAATTCAGATTTATAACAATATCATCTCTAAAAGAAGGTCATGTGTGTCAGAAAGCAGTCTGTAAAGCTGTCAGTTGTGAGGGACCAGTAAAAGGAAGAGCAGGCCCTCCTCCTCTGTGTAAGACTGATGAATTCTGCTCCTTCTATTACTGCCTGATCACATAAGCCTTCAGTTTCTCTCTGTCACCCCACCATGTAAAATCCTCATTGTCAATGACACAAACAGGCCCCCTTCTGTGGGTCGACTCTGTATCAGCATCACCTGCTCCTCTTTATGGCCGAGCTCGGTGGATGCTTCTGCTCTCCAGTTCTTGCCTCTCATTCATCCATTCGTTCTCCTTTCCTTCCTGTTTTCAAAGCAGATAACTGCCAGTCTTTTAGTGCTTAATCCAGCAGTTTTTAGTTTACTTGCAAAGTTGGGCAAACACCACTGCCATCTAACTCTAGATAGAACACTTACATCACAGCAAAAAGAAACCCTGTACTATTAGCAGCCACTCTCCTTCATGAAAATAGGCCATAAATTTTTTTTAAATCTTAATCTCATGAGGAAAGGAGTAAGTAGTTAGACCAGAGAGAATTTCCTTACTGAAGAAACAGATATAAAATATTTATTTACTTTAAATAATATGTATTGCTTACAATACAGAGACAGTAAGCAGCATCCTATGTCAAAAAGCTTCATAAAAGTTACTTCATGAGGCCACGCATGGTGGTACCTGCCTGAAATCCCACTTACTAGGTAGGCAAAGATAGGCAGGCCAGCCTAAGCAAAAAGTTAGTGAGACCCCCTCCATCAACAAATAAGCTGGGTGTGGAAGAGCACATCTGTAATTCCAGGTATGTGGGAAGTATAGGTATAGGTAGGAGGACTGTAGTCCAAGGCTGACCTTGGGCAGAAATACAAGACCCTATCCAAAAAAAGCTAAAGAAAAAAAAAGTTACTTCATGAACATTATAGCAAAAGTGAAAACATTTCTTTGTACATTAGGTTCTGAATCAAATTTAAGACACGGCTTTGATGTATGCCATTTCCAAGTGTCACAATGTTAGTATATGGAATAAACTTTAGTTAGTGTATTAATGAATTTGACAGAAAAGCCCCTGACACATCTTATGTGTCTTATCTTACAACTGGGAACTAATGTTAGAACCTCCTCTGAGGATACACTTCCACTATTTCATGTAACCCTTGGAAGTAAATTTCAACATACGGTAGTGTTGTAGAAGAGCTAATAAAAGTATACTGGCAGAGGCCGCTATGGGAAGGGGACCGGGAAGTAGTGAAGAGGTCTGGTAGAGATGAACCAACGTGGGTTGCAATAAACAAGTGCACGGAAGCAATGTTAGGAATCTCTCTGTATAGCTATCTTTATCTCAAACTAGCAAAAACGCTATGTCTTTCTTATTATCTTTTATGTTTTCTCTTCAACAAAATTGGAGAAGTGGGCAGAACAGGTTTGGCCTGGAAGCAAGGAGGGTGGGGGACAGTGGGAAGAGATGACCCAAACAATGTATACACATATGGATAAATGAATAAACAATAAAAAATTTTAAAAATATATAAATAAACTCAAAAAGTTCAAAATTAAAAAAAAAAACATGGCAGTGTTACAGAAGCCTAATATTAAAATAGAATAAAACAGACTTGAAGAAAAGTGAGACCTTAGAATTCTCCACTCATTTCCTCCTTACCCAGAGAGAGCTGGGAAATGACCCTGAAATGGAAGGTTCTATTTTTGCTCCTTCCTGTATGCTGATTCTCTAGCTCCTAAACTGCTGGTGGGCATACCAATTATGACACAGAGTCGTGTACACAGAAAAATTAAAAACATTTAAAACTTCCCCTAAAAGATTTTCTAGGGCAAATTTTACTATAGGTGACTCCACTACAGTTGAATTCCTCAACGTTAACTCCAGATAAAATGCGATTCCAGTTTACAACCAGAATACCTTTTCTGGTTCATCCTAAAAGAAACACCTTTTGCACGCTTACCTTAAAATTAATCTGCATCATTGGCAGAAGGTGAACTGAAGAACGGCACATGTCTGTAGTGATGAGGGAATTAATTTCGGGTATATTGAGGCACTGTAATGTTTTATATTTTTCTTGGGACATGCCCACTTTTGAACCCAAAACATCAGCAATGGCTACAGACAAAGCAAAAAGTTAAAAATAGTAAAATTACAGCTTGTGAAAAAAAATAAAATTAACCAAAGAATTTACCAAATCAAAACATTCACATTTTTATCCTAATATCTCCAAATGTGGATCATTTTTGTAGATTAACTCTGTGGAATAAACTGAGAAATCTGAAAGCCTATATTCATGATTTAAAAACTGCAAAAGAAGTATAGAAAAGGGTAGAAGAAGAAAAGAAATTAAATCTGGCCTTATCACTTTGTATCTCAATGTTTGACATAATGTGACCATGCTTAAGTAATGGAAAGCATGCTGAAAAACCAGTACAATACTCCCCAAAGGAACTATAAGAATACATGAAGAAGTCATGGGGACAAAAACTAAAACTGTCTTGTAAAATAACTAACTGATGGTTATCCTGGAAGAACAATATAATATTAACTCTGCATTAGTCATCTTTCAAAGTTAATTAAAGTAATAATGTGATGAAGACATTTGCTTATAAACATTTTATAAAGGCTAAGATAAACACACGTACCAAATGTTTCCATAAAGTTAAGCCTTTTAAAGTTTAAATGTATCAAATGTTGTCAAATTATCCTTCTACTTCAAAAATAAATATTGGATCATTTCAGGAAGTAAGTATCAAACACAAGAGCAGAGACTGAAAGGCCTTTATGCAAAAAGAATCTGACCTCTATCATATATTAATGTAAATTAGATACAGCTGCCACCCACCCAGGAAGACTTTCTCTTTTCCAATACAGTAAGTGCCACAGACAACAAGAGCACGTGGGTTTAGAGTTACAGCCTCAAATGCAGCATTGATGGCAAACTGGATAACCTCTTGCTGAGACGGAAAGGTGTATTCTGGGCTACAATACCTGTAATGCAGAAATGCAGTACTCAGTAAAACAACAGTAAAAAAAGCTATGGGCTCCACTTGAGAAAAAGAGCTTTACACGTAACAGCAGTATAATATGTTAGAACTATAACAGTTGTCTCACTGCTTGGTCTTAAAATATTTGTTACCAGTGATTTTTAACTTATGATAGTATTGCAAGTCTTCAATATATCTATTTAATTATCTTTTTTTATCACCCTCAAAGAAACTGCCTTTTGAAGATTTTTTTCCCTTTAAGAATATTTCTAGCTTCAGTCAGCTACTTTGGTTATGAGTTATAAACCTCAATGTATATATTTTTTTAACCAACTACTATTAAAGGAAATACTATTGATATATTGCTAGGGATTCTATTTGGACCAAAGAAGTCTGATTTAATGAAAAATCAAAATAATGAAACACATGAATTTAATGTATCTCAAATTTAGTGGTTAATGTTTGCATAGCTGGCATCAGCTTTTCTTACTGACACAGAAACGTCTACAGTATTACAGGAACAGCACAGACCCCATTGGGCCTAAATTCAAAAACACTCAGTGAAAGATTAGCCTGAAACTACTGTACATATATATTTTGAGATAACAGGTACTATTTCACAAAAATGTAATAAATTATAAGCATCAACTAAACATATTTTCCTCAACTTTCCAAAATTGTTTTTGTTAGTCAACTACCTGAAAAGAGGGGAAAAAAAGTCAGTCCTTTCTCCTATAAAAACTCACAAAGACATTCAGTTATACATTCAGAACAAACTATGCAACAAGTTTTTAAAATGTATTTTCTTAATTTATTTATTAAAGAACACACACACACACAAAAACTGAGGAATTAATTACTGTGAACAAACCCAAACTTATTTCTCCCTGAAACAGGATGAAATAGTTAATAAATATAAGTAATTTCTAACCAGCTGATGAGGCACTTTAACAACACTATCACATTGTATACCATAAACATGAGCAATTTTTATACATCAATTATACCTCAATAGAATAAAATTATACATATAATTAAAATATAGTGGCTTATACCATTATATTTATAGTACTGAAGAATTGAAAGATGTCACTTATAAATTAACTTATTGAGAAGAGAACAAAATCAATTTGTAACCCTCACAAACAGAATCTCATTTTGTCCTGTTCTTTTCAGTTATACTTAATACCTACACAGACATTTAGAAGGATAACCTCAGGGTGTATTCCTAAAGTTTGCCCCAAAAAATTTGCTCCCTGTTTTTAGTAACAGCATTCTCCTATAAATATTTACAAAATAAATAAAAAAAAATTGAATTGTAGTCAATTAAAACATGTAATCACTAATTTGCTCTTTAGCAAACATATATTTTAAACAGCATCCCTCTGATATATAGCCTTAACAAATAAATGACAATAGACCATCATTTTAAATAGCTAAGCAAATGCTTAAATTATTCACAAAATACAGAGCAAATCCTATCAGTGGGAAAAGGAGGCACTCAAAGAAAACGCCTCTTACGTGGTGTCTAGGTATAGCATGTGGACTTTCTGGCCTGCAAGAAGAGAACGTTCCATGCTGGGATCTGCTCTGAAGTCTCCAGTGTGTAATATGACGGCACCATTAGGAAGACAGAAGAGGATCATGGCTGCACCTGGACAACTGAACACACGAATTTTAAAGGAATATTCGTATTACAGACAAAGCACCCACACAAGGGTACCTACTTCAATATCCACCAGGTAACACATCCTATTAGCTGGCCAAGGTGACACAGCATTGTAATCTAGAGGAAATGCAACACTGTAACTCCAGGAAACTACATCATAAAAGATGGTGTGTAAGAAAGGCTTCGCTTATCAAGCACGGGTTGCTCAAACCCTGCACATTCCCAAGAAAGGCCTGTCTTCTGGACTGGTAGCTGATGGCCTCCTGGGAAATAAGCTCTAAGCCAATGAAATATTTTGTCTAAGAGTGTGTTTGATGCCTGAGGCATGGGCTATGGTATACTAGCTTGGTCAGATAGTTTATGAGAACTTTGTGATCTATGGTGAATACCTCATAAAGCTGATTTAAAGAATCAGAGCTCAAATCAGCAACTAAAAAAGAAAAAGTAAAAAAAATCAGCACACAAAAATTTAAAGCAAGCAACCTGAAGGAATAGCACTGGCCTGGATTTTAGGAAACCTAGACTTTATCTTGTTTCTTTCCTTAAATGTCTACAATCTCTATGGAACAGGGGCTAATATCTTAGGAAAAGTAGAAAGAAGCCTAGCTGATAGTTGTGTTTTGGTAACATGGAATGCTGAGAGTGCTTTACATTGAGAAAGAGAGAGAGAGAGAGAGAGAGAGAGAGAGAGAGAAGGAGAAGGGAAGAAAATGGAAACCATTCCAAATCTTTAGTATCTAAAACCTGGAGGACTTCTCAGTTTAATGTGGTGGTAGGGAGCAGAGGACCAATACTTTCATATCTAAATGGAGTATAGGCCGTTAATTAACATAAATGATACAGGAAAAAGTAGCAAAAAGTTATCTTTTGAAGAACAGCAGCAACATGTTCAAGTATTTTTCAAAAATAAGATGGAGTCTCTTATGTCAGTGTAGTGATTTAAACCACATAAAAATGGGTTAGACAAAAGAGGGTCTCTACGTTTAGTCACCGATTCTGTAATAGGGCACATTATTTTTTTCAAAAGTAGAAACATGGTTTACTCAAGTTTTCAGAACTATTAAGCACATCAGTTCTAATGAAATTTTTTAGCCATATTGATGTGTTTTCCTTTTGAATACTTTTTTAAATGGGCTATTTAAAGGCAATTTTAATACTTACTGATTGGCATCAAGCAAAACAACCTTCACACCATTCACTATACACTCAGTGTCCATTGGCAGTGGATGGATATATTGTTCCTGCACATGAAGCTTGTTCTTCAACAAATTGCCAGTAACCTGCAAGATGGGATATTAAATAAGTATTATTTCATATCCAGTTCAGAACTTAATTCCCAGCAGAACACACAGCCGTTTGTCATCTGCTGTGGGTTTATCTCCTGTGGTTCCCCTTATGATAATCATTCTGAGTTTTCTGAGAGTCTGAAATTGGCATATTTCCAAGGTACTTATGCTTCTACACAAACTTGACTTTCTACCTGGAACACTCTCTTCTGTTTTCTCTGCCTAGCGAAGGAAGTGGACACACCTGCATTCAAATTTGGGCTTTCAGCCCCATGTGGTGGCTTTCCAGCTACTCCGGAGGCAAAGATTAGGAGGATTATGGTTCATGGCCAGGCCAGGGAGGGGTGAGAGGTGAAGAGAGTTAGTGAGACCCCCATCTCAACCAATAAGCTGGTTGCAGTGGTGTGTACCTGTTATCCCAGCTACTCAGGAGGCATAAATAGGAGGATCACAGTCTAAGGCTGGCCCCGGGGTAAAAAAGCAAGACCCTATCTGAAAAACAACCTTAAGCAAAAGGGGCTCGAAGTGTGGCTCAGGTGGTAGAGGTCCTGAGTTCAAATCCCAGTATCACCACCACCACCACCAAAAAAAAAACAGGCCTGGCTCTGTGATCTGAGGTATGTCGCTTAACCAATCTAAACCTCAGTTACTTCACTAAGAAAAAGAAGCTACTTCACGAATGCTTTCAGCATTAAACCCAATTCCAGCTAAAGCCCTTAGAAACAGGGACTAAAATGTTCACCTTTTAATAATTAGTTTAAGTGACTGGTCTCACTATGAGACTTTCTCTAACCTCAGCCTACAACAGAGTGAAGTACTCCTTTCTTTCTAGTCTGAGGCACTCCATTCATTTTACTGTTATAATACCAATCCTGTTCGGTGTTATTTGTGAATGTTTCCCCTAGAAGTCACAAGCTCCCTAAAGTTATGTATTTTGCCTTTATAAACAATTAGGCACACAAAGAATGCTTACTGAAGGAATTTTTTTTATTATGTCCTGAAATAGTTTTTCTATTGTACTCATGTAATAAACTGTGCTTTTAAAAAATGTAATTGTTGACAGTATCTCAATTTGATTTTAGAACTTTGATGTGAATCTATTTTCTATAAAGTCAGAATTTAGAATACTAAAACTTACCTCACTGCAATAAACTGGAAATGTGAAGTTTCTAGACAACCCTGCGTAATGATCAGAATGGAAGTGTGTGAGGAAGTAGGCCGTGCAACCTTCCACCACGCCATACTGAAAGGCATCAACCGTAAAGCTAGTACCTGCAATGAAAGGCCACCACAGTGGGATGAGCAGGAGTTAATACTCCCAGACCTACTGACCTGAGTAGAAATACCAAGCCCTGATCTTCTCTACCTCTCATTTCCAATTTAACTACAATTTGGTTAAAACTTTAGACCACATAAATTTAGCAAAAGGTGAGAATAAGTCTTATTAAGTTTCAACTAAATCCCAGTAGAGAATTCTTTTGATGAATAACTGCACCAAAAAATAATTTAAAATGATATTAAGCTACAAACCAATTACTTTTTGTTTTAGCTAATACTTTCATACTTACTGGGCACCCACCTTTTACTTCTGTAAAACAGCAATAAGGAGAATCATTTAGCAGTAAGTGGAATCATCTAAAGCATGAATTCTCAATGTGGGGTGACACTGATATACTTCTAAGGGTCAAAATGGTTAAGGGGCAAAAATGGTTGGGGGTCAAAAGTCGAAATAAAAGATAAACAGTGTATCTACAGTCTTTGAATTTCACTTCAGGGTAAGGGAAGAGGGTAGAAAACAAGAAAACGCTGCTTAAAAAATCTCCCTAGAGGAGCAATAATGAAAGAAAAAAAAAGTTGAGAAATACCATTTTAAAACGTATTCATGAAAGAAACAGCCAAATGTGCTAACAGGCTGATATTTAAGTAATATGTGTAACTCCAGTCTACTGAGGCAGGGCACACTAGAGTTAGGCTCACTTAAAAGTACAGAAAATGCTTCACAACCATTACTAAAACAAAGCTGGTGCTATTCTCTAAACAAATACTTTGAACAAATTATAGATTTAGAACATTAAAACAGCAAATCCACAAAAAATCTTTTGAAACCAAGTATGTTTTGGCTGCTTTAGTGAATATTCTTCTCAGAAGAAGTTATTGGTTTCTTCAGTAATAAAATTCATTTTGCTACACATTTTCTATGTTCTCACTTGACTTCTCTCTCATATGACTTTGGGTTGGAGGGAAAGAGACACCCTTTCCTCCCATCTGTAAAGGCATAAGAAATTACAATGTATAAAGGCAGAGAAATCAAGTTTTCACACAGTTTTAAAATATCTGGCACTTACTAGGACAGGTATGACTGTCACATCTGTCTTTGAAACTATTTAGTACTTTTTATTTCTCGTAAGTGCTGAGACACTGCTTTTATGATAGTTCCTTACATAGATGAGTCTTACTTTCCTCCTTCCACAGTAACCTGAGCCTTGATTGCTCACTTGCTAGTGTATAAGATGTAACATCTACCTAACTAGTATAGTAACTTTTGAACACAGTATGTTCAATAAAAGTTTGCTGAGAATGGAGAAAAAATAAAAAACAAAAAACCAGTTTAGAGGCTCATGAAGTATCATAAGAAGCAAAGAAAACACACAGTACAAAAATTATTTCATGCCCACATCCGTGGACACTGAACATGACGTTTGAAAGATGTGGCTTTGCTGCTAAACTGAGCATTGATACTCCAACTTACCAGGTATCCTCTTATAGAACGGACACCTCTTTTTTCTTAATTCCCCTGCATCAGATGATCCTGAAATTCTCACGTTCCCTCTTTGCAGCCTGCTGTGAGCTGATTTTATGAAGACTTTGTCTTTACTTATGACTGTTTCAGATTCTGTATTGTTATTAAGGTGATGTGACCTCTTCTGATGTGCTCCTTTCTGTGGGGAATTTGATTTTTTCTGTCTTTTTCTTTGCCGCTGTGACCTCTCCCAAGTGAGTTCGACAGAGCACTGACTCTCATTTAAGTTCTTTGCATCAAACTCTAAATCACTTAAAGAATTTTCTGCTTTCCTCTTGCAAGGCTGGGACCTCTTTTTCTTGGGACTTACAACTGGATCTAAGTTCATCCCTTTCAATGCACTGTCCCTGAGTGACTTCTCTTCTCTTCTTTTGGGTGGTAGTCCAAAATACACACCTATATCCATTTGCTTCATTCCCTTGGCAGAAGAATGGCTTGCACTGCACTTAGAACCTGAGGGCAATATTTTCGAGGACTTAGCAGCAGTAGGTGTAGTGGAAACTGTTTCTGTATTTAAAATTTTAACTTTACCATCTAGCATACCACATAAGGCCTTTCTGCAGACACATTCTGAGTTACTACTGTTCTTAGCACAGAAGTTCTCACTTGATAATTCTCTCATTTGACTTTGGGTTGGAGGGAAAGAGAGACCCTTTCCTCCCCAGCTTTCAAGAGGTTTTGACATCTCACTCTTAAGTAAGGGCAGAGAAACTTGACTGCAAACAGCTGATTCTTCAATTACCTGTTTCTGCTTATTTGATTGAGATGCAGGAAATTGTGGTTCATCAGGGTTTGCTTTAGTAGTTTGATAATTAGAAGCAGGAAGCTCCCCTGTTAATGCAGGTGCAAACAACAGAAAATGACCATCAGTATATGAGGACTTATCGTCTGAAACACTGCTCTCAGTTTGGGAGAAAAGTTGAGGAAAATCATTTAGAACTCTGCACTTTAACAGTTCATTATACTTATTTTGAGTGAAGAAGCTATTCACTTCAGGGCGATGCTCCTCTGCATTCTTCAGGAAGGGACCACCGGGTCTTTTAAATGCAATAGAGAGGTCCTCATATTCCAGGCTGTCATCTTTAGAACTTTCAGTAAAAAACAGTTCCTGTTGTGAATCATCCAGCTTTTCATCTATAGCATAAGTTTCTTCGTCACTCTGAAGCGGAGAATAGGAGATTTCACAGCTGCCAAAGTCATTTTCTGGCAATGACAAGTTTGTGCATTGTGAGTTGCTTTGGCCATCTAATTCCTCAGCAAGAGGCAAACCAACTCCTACCAGTTTGTCTTTCTTAACAAATTCTGTAGACTGTAGAACTTGTTGTAACTTTTGAGAAGAGGTAATCTTTTTGTTGGTTTCAAGTGGAGGTTGAGACTTTTTTAGACACTGGGTCATCAACAAAGAATCATCTGAAGCATTTTTAAAGTTCTCTGGTGACTTCGGATGTAAAAACCATCTTTCCTCAAGGTTACAAGAATAGCTTGGCTTAGTCTCACTGACACTCCAGCCTGATGCAGGTGGCGGACTGCTAAACGGCTCACTGCTAGCCCTACTTTGAGCAAGCAGGAGGTGAGTATATTTCTTATAATGAGAAGGAAATGTTGAAGTACATCGGGCACCATCAGGACACTCTGAAAGTTTTGATAAAGAGAAAAAGAGTATTACAGGCTAAGCTAATGACAGCACTAGCACTATAAACTAACCTGCAAGTGGAAAACTTTGGAGGCCTTATGGTGATGGCTATTGCTACCTGCACAGTCAAAAGGTAAGCATTAAAATATAACATTCAATTCAATAAGGTATGACTGCTACTTATTTTATAATCAAATACTTTTAAATTGTTTTTCAAATAATCTTTTCTCAAATTATGAAAACTTTAAAATGTACAAATGATCACAATTCATTCTCCATATATTTCAAGTAGAATTTTCTATGTTACGTATGACACTTATTTTAAAAGTTAACAAAACAACATAGCATTACTTGTTATTTGAAACCTTTTTATTAAAAGCATCTTAAGACTCCTCAGTTTTTCTTCCTGTACACTAGCATGATGACTACAACACAACCATAGTTGGAAACTAGAATGGATTTAGACCTTCCTATATAGTTCCCCCCCCCCCCCCCCCCGCAAAAAAAGGTAAGATCACAAACTGGGCAAGTTATTTCAAAATCTTGATCTATAAAATGTATAAATACCACCTATTTTATATGGCCACTGTAAGAGTTAAGTTAAAAACAGCTCGAAAGTACCTAGCATAGTAAAAGGTTTAATAAACATTTATTCAAAAATATCTGGCCAGGCACCGGTGGCTCTCGCCTGTAATCCGAGCTACTCAGGAGACAGAGATCAGGAGGATCACGGTTCGAAGCCAGCCTGGGTAAACAGTTCCACAAGACCCTATCTCAAAAAAACCCATCACAAAAAAGGGCTGGTGGTGTGGCTCAAGGGGTAGACACTGAGTTCAAATACCAGTACTGCAAAAAAAAAAAAAAAACAACTGAATACTTAGTAATTTTTATGAAAAAATTAAAAGCATTTAAATACTTTCAGGTTGGCAACTTTCTTCACGATCATACCATCGACTAGAATATAGTGACTCAACATGTTTTTGGTTTATTGCTTGTCTTGCTAGTTTCACTGAATTGAGATGGCTGTCCTAACACAGGTTTTCTGTCATCTTACCTATGTTGGAGACTGTTGTAGAGTCCAAACATTCAAAAACATGCCATTGAGGTGTTTGTCCTAGCAAGGAGGAGAAGGGCATCTGGCAGCTTGGACAGTATCCATCATAAACTGGACGTATCTTCGGGGACACCTGCTTGCTTTTGGGAGCTCTACCTTGCTTTCTGGGTGTAGTCTCTTTGTCTTGGGACGGCTGTGTCCCATCTCTGCAACTCCAGCTCTGACTAGAAGCTCCCGAAGTCTTACAATCTGCTTCTCCAAGGCACATTTCATGGTCCTTCACCTTTCCTTTCTCTTCTCCAGCTTTCTTTTCCTTTCTTTTCCGTTTTGACTGGTAGTTTCCATATGTTGCTTTTTCAACAGATTTTGGAATATTTTCAGAGCAACTATTTGGATGTACTGGCTTTGGTTTTCTTTTAGACTTATATTCCCAGATGTCTTCTTCCAAAAACGTGTTTTCTAACATGGCCAAATGATTTTACCATTAAAGAAGTATTTATCGTTAGTAAATTGAGAGTCCATTTCTTGTTACACAATTTTTAAATGGAACTATTTTGCTGATGAAAAACCCAAAAGTAACCCAAAAAAACCTACTAACGGGACTGGAAAGTTTTGGTAATGAATGTATGGCCAAACTACAAACCTTACACCTGAGAATGCCTACTGTACCATTCGTAACACAATAAAATTAAGAGACCTACCACAGGGACAGGACTTGATTCATAAAAACTACACTCAATAATACCTTGAAAATTAAGCCCGTATGGGAACTATAGATAGGTTCAACAACTGTATCCGAAAGCAAACTTTGGGTGTTGGGAAGCCACCCTCCCTTCTCTTTCAAGTGGACATTTGTCCAAATGATCCTCAAATCCTCAGGCAGCACTAATCAAATGCCTCAGTTTACCAGTAAAACTAGTCGCACCGTCACCCACGGTGCGATTCGCAAATACTGCCTTATTACGGGCCTTATCCGTGACTCACGGATATTCATTCAACAATTCCAGCTTCAACATCACTCCAGCGTCTTCCTCCGGCAGCAGGCCCAATCCTAAACATGAACAAAGTCCAAACATGTTAACTGTGCCTGGACGGGGTCACGCTATCCTCCAGGCCAGAGGCCCAGCCTCCTTCCCCCGGCCTCCAAAGTGAGGCCGGTGCCAGAACCCTTTCCCCTTCTCTTTGGAGTCTGGCGGGGGGCGGGGGGGAAGTCAACACTGTCGAGGTTAGGCACAGCCAGCTTCAAAAGGGCCGCCAGAGCCCCTTCCTTCCGCAGGCTCCGATGCCAGCCCGCAGAGCCCCTCGCGGCCGCGCACCTGCCGCCTCGCCCCCCCGGAGCAGCGGCAGCTGCGCCCTCCCGGCACCCCGCGCGCCGGCCTCCCGCCCGCCCCGCGCGCCGGCCTCCCGGCACCCCGCGCGCCGGCCTCCCGCCCGCCTGGCGGCCTATTCGCTCCCGCACTTTCGGCGCCCCCCGGGTCCCCCAACACCTCCTTTGTGGACAAATCAAACCCACTAGCCAGCCGTTCCCACCTTAAAAAGTCTTCTCCCTTGACGATGCCCCCGCCTCCTTTACCTTTCCTGTCTTGGCCGTAGCCGCCTCCAGCGGCTGCGGAGGTGTCGAATCTGCCGATCCTACTCTAAGAATGTGACTGTAAGGAGAATTGTTTTTAAGTGTGCTTTTTTGAGCCCTACGGGTTCAATTCCTTTCATTTTTGTTCTAAAACCTGTTAGTTTGCAAAAAACGGGGCGTGTGGGATGGGTCCCTCCGCGCGAGGGAGCGCGGCCTCTTCCTGTTGAATCTGGCGCGCTGAATGTCCAGGTTCGGCCGCTGCCAGGGGCCGGCGGCGGGGGCGGCGGCGGCGGGGGCGGCTGGGCTGCACGGGAGGTTAATTACGTGCCCGGACACTGCGGCCATCTGGACTTTGGCAGTTGGACGCAGGCTTAGAGAGGGAAAAAGTGCCTGTGGCGCGGGGTGGGGTCGGTGGGGCGTGGCGGGGACGCCGTCGTGAAGCCGCCTGCCAGGCCGCGGCGCTTCCGTCCCCGGAGCCTGGAGCCCGCGCAACATGGCGGCGCCCCGAGCTCGCGGCGGCTGCAGCCTGTCGGGCCTGCTGCCCGCGCAGACCTCGCTGGAGTACGCCCTGCTGGACGCCGTCACCCAGCCCGAGAAGGACGGCCTGGTCTACCAGTATCTGCAGAAGGTGGACGGCTGGGAGCAGGACCTGGCGGTGCCCGAGTTTCCCGAAGGTGAGGTCGGCGTCGGTGGGCGCCGTCCCGGGACCCCCCCGCCCAGGTTACCCGAGCAGACGCTCCATGGTGGCATGTCCCTGCCGCGTCGCCCCGGTCATCCGTGTCCTCCCGTCGGGCATGCCCTGCTCGCTTTCTGTCTGCCACCCGCATCCCACCACGCCCGGCGTGTTCTCGCTTAATCCCGCCTGCACCCCCGTGAGGGGTTGGTTTTACAGCCAAGGAAACTGAGGCACGGCAGATAACCGGCGGGGTTGGAGTGCAGTCTGCAGAGCCCTTGCTAGTCTTGCTTTGCAGCTGGGGAAACTGAGGCACGGGAAGGTTTGAGCACCGTGCCCAGCTGATAACTGGGCAGTGCAGAGTTGGATTGTGGTCTGCTGACCCCTGGGCTGGTTGCCCGCCCCCACCGTATTTCAGAGTCAGGAGGCTTGCACTTTTTCCCATCTGGGTCAGTTCTGGCTGTGGGATTGTCTGGAGCACCAGGGAACAGATGCTCCCCGGTGAAGTTGCAAATGAAACCTTATTTTCCCCTCTGTGGCTAGGAGTGGCACCGTTTGACCTGCTGGTGTTGGCAGGTGGCCCGGCAGGACACTGAGACCGCACGTATAGTTACTCGGATGGTTGAGACAGGGTTCAGCCATCTCACGGGAGGTGCGTCGGGGCCGCCACTGACAGCAGGCTGCTGTGTCTTTCCAGGCCTTTTGCACTCGCCTTGAGAAGGACCTACTTTCTTCCATTTTTGGTCTTAGACTGGATTTGAAATAGTGTGGAATTCTTAGGAACGAATGGGGTGCGTGAATGCTTATCCCACCAGAAAAACTTGGAAACACTGTATCAGTATGTATAAATATGCACATATTTTGCGAAAACGATGTAAGAAGGCAGTTGTATGGTATGCTGCTGTAAATAAGCGGGCCACCGTCCAGTCCTGTTTGTATTTACAGGAGGTGCATTTTAATTCGTATGACTCTTTTTGGTGGTACTGGGGTTTGAACTCTTCGTGCTTAGTGCTTGTTAGGCAGGTACTCTGCCACTTGAGCCATGCTTCAGTCCTTTTTGCTTTGGTTATTTTGTGTTTTGCTGGGCTGGCCTGAACTGAGATCCTCCTGTTTTAGCTTCCCACTGTAGACACCACACCTGGCTTTTTTCTGTTGACACAGGGTCTTGCAAATTTTTCAATTTATTTTTTGTTTTGCCTAGACTGGCCTGGAACTGAGCTCCTCCCAATCTCAGCTCCCTGTGTAGTTTGGGATGACAGGCGCATGCCACCATTTTGCCAAGCTATTGGTTGGGAGTTTCATTAACTTTTTTTTTTTTTTTTTTTGCCCTGGTTGGACTCAAATCATGATCCTCCCGATTTTAGCCTCCCAAGTAGCTTGGCTCACCATGACATTTGACCTCTGTGACTCATACGTCATACACAGTCATGAAATAGGTTTCATTTCTGTACCTGATTATTGAGAACAAAATGCAAGAAATGAATAAAGCATATAGTTTTTGAGATAAAATTATGTTTATACTTTTTGATTATAGTTTACTGATAAACCAAGAAAATACTTATTTTTTAGAACAATCACATGTTTGTGGGAGGCAGTGCAGTATGGTGAATGGATTCAGGCAGACCTGGGATTAAATCTTTGTTACTCTCTTGTTTACCTGTGTGATTTTGAGCAAGTTAATTGACTTTCTCACTTGTAAAGTGCAGTGACTGAGTTCTTACCTTTCAGGGTTATTGTGTGGAGGTAATGTATGTAAACTTCTTAATTAACTAGGAACTTACTCAATGTTAGCTGTTTGTTGTATTTATTATAATTATTGCTATTATAAAACACATTATTTAGCCTCATCAGCTCCTAGCACAATAACTAAAATAACTTTTCCCACCCCTTAACCTAAACTGCTCTTGACCATTTGCAGAAGTCATAGAAGACAGATTGATAAATATCTTGCAAGTAGGATATGATATATACATTAATTAGTAGGAATAATTAACTGTATTATCACTTAATCTGGCTATAATTAACACTATTATTAGAATAGATAATTAAGAGTTCACGATAGGGTCCAGTACAATAGTTAACTCCTGTCATCACAGCTACCCACGGGAGGCTACCATGGTAGGAGTATCTCAGGCCTGCTGTGGGCAAAAAAGCAAGACCCTATCTGAAAAATAACTAAAACAAAAAAGAGCTGGGGACACGCACCTGCCTAGCAAGTGCAAGCTATCAGAGCCATAAATAAATAAATAAATAAATAAGAGTTCACTGTACCCTGAAACCTCACTAATATTTGGTACTAATTTGATTTGACTTTTTTTCTAGAATTTTACTGTAATTGGGTAACTCCCGTTACTGTTATTAATCATTAATTGCTATTAGTCTCCCTTGATGTGTGGTTTCATTTATCTAAGGTCAACCAGGTCTAAAAATACTAAGTAAAAAATTCCACAGTTACACAATTCATGAGTTTTAAAATATGTGCTTTCTAGTAGTCTGCCTTCCCACTGTGTCCTGCCTGGAATGTGAATATCCCCTTGTCCAGTGATGTGATTTACCCCTCAGCAGCATATCAATACTGTGCATGTTACCCACAGTTAGTCGTTTAGTTGTCTTGGTTTTCAGATCATACCACAATGCTTGTGTTCCTGTAACCCTTATTTTCTTAATAAATGTCCTTAAAGCACAAGAGCAGTGAGGATAGCAGTTTGGATCTGCCAAAGAAGCTAAAAAGTGCTTCCTGTAAGTGGAAAGGTGAAAGTTCTCAAGTCACTCAATAAGAGAAAAAATATTGCTTGTTGAGGTTCTTAAGATGTTTGGTAAGAATGAGCCTTTTTATCCATCAAATTGTGAAGAAGAAGAAAAAAAGTCATGCTGTTTTTGCTGCCACACCTCTAACTCTAGCAGTTACTTAGGGCCACAGTGCATGTGCAGTTAAGGTAGAAAGGGTTCTTTGGCAGATTTAGGCATCTGTTTGGGAGGGTCTTAGAATGTATCTGCCATTTACTTGCTCTACCCAACATTTGCTTTTAGTTGCTGTAAAATATTTCCTAATACTTCAAGGTATAATTAATAGTTTTAATAACTTCATTTATTTATAAGCAATAAACTGTTTTCTTAAATTGGTTAAATAGGGATGCTATACTTTTAATACTAATTTAGCAAAATCTTTCTTCATAGTACAGAGTTAAATTTTTGAATCATAGTCAAGTAATTATAATTTCTGATTTCCAAAAGTACAGATTAATGAGATCCTATTTTTCTTTGACGGGAACTTGATCTTCATCAATATTAATGCTGCTTCTAACTTTTCATTTAAAATATTTTATTTTGTGTTTAGGGTTTTACCCAACTCCAGAACATTTCCGCTTCTTTTTTATGAGATTGGCTTAGGCATCTTATATGTTTAGCCTTACATACACTTTGTTCCTTTTTGATGCTTAGTCACATCTTACTACTTTTAAGCTTGATCTTCACTCTCAATACCCCATTTATACCTAATTATGTATGCAGTTAGAGCCTGTTAATATTTGATAGTTCCCCTTGTTTTTGCCTAAATGTGTGGATTTTACCCCTATGACACACAGACTCTTCCACTATTTCTGAAAAAATTTAATAGCTGCTCCTTGCTATGCTTGCAGATTGCTTTATAATAGCAGTTTTTCCATCCTCAATCTCCTGTTCCTCCCCTTCCCAGCCCAGTTCCCTCCTTTTCTTCTCTCCTCCCTCTTTAATCTCTGCCTTTTTGATCTTTTCCTTCAATCACAAATACCTGTTCTGCTATAGTCATGAAGATACATCATGTCTTGCATCTCGTTTATTGGTAGAAAAGGGTGGTTCTTATAAACAAAATAATTCAACTGCTACAGTTTAAGTAGTACTATCACATCTTAAGGTAGTTTGGCTATTAGTACTAGTCTTAGAAAAACAGTGATTCACATTTCAATGGAAAATTTTACATAAATTATCTCTGTTGTTTCCTTTAATCATTGTAATTTATTCTGTGTAAATTTCAGGGTTGGACTGGCTGAACACAGAAGAGCCTATTTCTGTCTACAAAGATTTGTGTGGAAAAGTGGTTGTCCTTGACTTCTTCACCTACTGCTGCATAAACTGTATTCACCTGTTGCCTGATCTCCACGAGTTAGAACAGACATACTCTCATAAAGGTATCTGCTCTTTGATTAGTTTCTAGCAAACTCTCCTGGCATAAGTACTGGAAGCTTATCTGACACATTGACTCATCAGACAGTGGACATTTGGCAAAACTGCAGTGATTCGATAAGTAATCTATAATCTATGAGTGAAGGACTCTGTGTGGATTCTTTTTCCATTTTGGTTTTTGAGGCAGGGTTTCATTATATAGCCACACTGGCCTCAAACTTACGACCCTCATGCCTGAGTTTCCCAAGAGCTGGGATTATAGGTATCCACTACCATGCCCAACTTCTGTGTGCCTTTTCATGAAGGGTTAAACTTAGTAGTAATGGTTTGCCTAGCTAAAGAACCAGAATTTAGAATTTAGTTTTTCTCTCAGGGTTAGGGCATAATTTACTTTTTTCATAATCAGGTATTCGAAAAGGCCCCTTTGTATGTCAGAGCTTATCTAAATTTATTCTATTAAAACAAAAGAAGTATCACCCTAATTTAATATCCTTCTCAGTGTGATAGGAAGGTTTAAAGTTCTTATTAGGAAAGGTGATTAGGTTTCCATTAATATGCAATGACATGAACTACAGTGGAATGAAAAATATTATAACAGATAGTTTTTCTTTGACCTTGCTTCATTAAGAATGATTTATTACAGTTAATGTTTTTCAAAGCACACTAGGAAATCCTCTTATGGTATTACAGATTCTGGAGATGGAAGAGATTATCCTTCATATTTGCTATAGAAGTTTGAAAAATTACCGTGTTTCTTTTTCTTGTTTACTTCTTTCTAAAAACAGCATGTGAGTAAATGAAATTGACAAAATGGTTCCGTTTAATTAAGTTGAAATGAATGGAAGTTCTGTTTGTGGAGTGGGTAAAAAGGAAATGGGGGCACTGAGCTTGTGAGAATAAAGATGGGAATAGACTCTACATGTACAAAAATGAAGGGCTTCTTGAATTTTAGTTAAATTTTAACTAAGATTCATTTTTTACTGAAAAAGTGTAATGGGTTAAAATTTTAAGTGCAAATAAAACTTCAGATGCTTTTAAGTTGTAATAGATTATATATTAAATATTACCAAGTACTGCTATCTAAAAAATGGAAATTGACAAGTGTTGGAAAGAATGTGGAGTAACTGGAAGCCTCGGACCTCACAGGTGACATGTAAAATGGTTCAGCCACCGTGTGAAACAAGCTTGGCTATTCCTCAAAATGTTAAATGTAGAATTGCTACATAACTCGGCAGTTAAGAAGTGAAAACAAGGACTCAAACAGATACTTGTATGCAACTGTTCACAGCAGTGCGATGAAGAGCAGTGAAAACATTTTGGAAATAATGGGCGGTAACACATTCTACATGCAACTAATGCCCCTGAATTGTACACTTAAAATTGGTAACAGCAAATTTTATGCTATATTTAACACAATAAAAAAAAATCAGTTGCAGAGAAGGTGGAAAAAAATATTACCAAATAAAAGATTTATGAAGAACTCAAGTGTTCCTGGTGACTAAATCATATTTTCAGAAATTCTTATGTATGAATTTAAGCAATATGAGTATCTTATTATTCCCTGGGTTTTAGATGTCTGTGTTTCTTCAAGCTAGCACATTACTTGTACCTGTGTTATGTGCATGTTGCTTTCACTGCTGAGGAAATACAGATTTGAATAAAAAGTGTTGTGACAATTCAACAGTCACTGTATGCTAATACAAAAGCATTATGGGACCCCCGAGGAAGATGTTCACTCACTTTGCCTGTAAACATTAGAAAGATTTCTCTGAGGAAGAGAGAATTGAGCTAGAACTGGAAAATGAGCAGGAGTGCAGCTGAATATGAAATGGGGCAGAAGTGACACTCCTGGTTGAGGTGGTGTTAGGGAAATGAGCAAGGAAGCACAGAACAGTGGGAGCCTTACTCCAGGCACAGGTGGATAATTGAATGTGTCAAAATTATAATTTTGTGGTATGAATAAAAGGAGATAGTTACGTTAGGACCATATTGTGAAGTACATTATGTATCATTCTTTTATACTTTTTCTTCCATTTAGGATGTGGAGATGTTGAAGGTTGTTTTGATTTGTTTGTTTTTTTAATTGGAGGATGATGTGATATTGTGTTTTGATATTGTGTGTGAAGGGCACTAACTACACGCTGGAGTTAAAAAAAATAATAATAATCCTAGAGTTAACCATTTCCTTACCTAAGATCACTCCTAAGTTACTATAGTTAGTTGGTTAACTCCACACCTGAAGCGAATTCAGTGACTTCTTCCAGTTATTCCTTGTAATCTCGTACCAGTTTAATAGAAGCTTTGTTTTTGTAGCACACTGTGACAATTTGTTGCATACAAATACAGCACTGAGTATTAAAATGCTTTGTAAATAGAAAGAGGATTCTGGGAACATGGAAGAGTAAGAAGCAACAGGAATGTGCCTGCCTAGACAATAGTTGCACTGGCAAAATCTATCTGATTTGGTACTCTGGATTCTATTGAAGGCTAGCAACTTGCAGGGGAAGGCTTGGACTGTAAGGTACTTTGATCAGTTTTATCCCTTAGCACAGTAGCAGCTACCTAGTGCGAGTCTCTGCTCCATGTCAGGCAGCTGTGTACATGTTTCTGGCGCAGCTTGTCTTGCAACTTGTTGGAGCCAGTTTGGAGAGAAGCACACTGTTCTCCAAATATTGGGGGAATCTGTGCTGATTGCTCCTTAAGATCACAGAGATCCAAGCAGAGACAGTGGCCATTGTTGCATATTTCTACCTTGTTGCAAGCCTCCCCTCTTCTAGGTGAAGTGACTTCCAGGTGATTGGTACCTTTTTTTTCCTCCATGTTTCTCTTTTTCTTCTTGTTGGAGTCCAGACATTGAGGACCAGTACATTCAGTAGCAACTGGACATACAAAGGAAGTTAGAAAGTCACTGTTGCAGGCTTAGGAGAAGAGGGAGTCTCAGAAGTGACCCAGGAAGATCATAAGTTTATACCTTAGGGTGATCAATGACAGAGAGATACCCTACTATAACAACAAAAGACAAAAAAACCCAGCAAACCCTGGTGAGAAGGGAATGAGGAGGGAAGAGTCTGACTTCCAGAGTTACTATATTTTCAACAAAAACCACAAGGCATACAAGGAAACAGGGAAGTATTGCCTATTTAAAGGAAGAAAAAAATTAATAGAAATTTTCCCTGAAAAAACCCACATGACAGATTTATGAGACAACAACTTTAAAACAATAGCTTTAAAGATGCTCAGAGAACTAAAGGAAGGTAATAGAAAAGGTACAAGAAACAGTATATCAACAAAATGAAAATAACAATGAAAAACCTTAAAAAAATATAGAGTAAATTCTGGAACTGGAAAATATACTTAACTGAAGTGAGAATTTCACTAGAGAGATTAAAAGATAGATTTGAGCAAAGCCACCAAATGTGAAGCTAAGGCGAAGGGAGTTATTGAGTCTGCAGAATAGACATAAAAATATTTGAGGTGAACAGAGCCTAAGGGACCTTGTAGAGCACCATCAGCCAGACCAACATGCTTTGCGATAGAGAATATTTGAAGAAATAATGGCTGAAAACTCCCCAAATTTAATGAAAGACACGAACATCCAAGAAACTTACCAAGCTTTTAGGTAGAATGGACTCAAATAGAGCCACACTAAAACACATTGTAATTGAACTACTTAAAGACAGGGAGAACTTTGGAAGCTGCAAGTGAGAAGCAGCTTATCACATACAAGTGATCCGTTGGTCAGATTTCTCATCAGAAATCAGAGGCCAGAAGGTAGTGGGTCAATATATTCAACTTGCTAGAAGAAAAAAACCCAACCAAGAATTCTACAGTTGGCAGACTTTTTCCAAAGTGAGGGAGGAAATAAGACCTACCTAGAAAACAAAAGCTGAGGAAGCTCTTCCTGAAGAAAGGCTAAGCGGAGTCCTGCAGGTAGAAATGAAAGGACACTGGTCAATAATCTGAAGACAATGAAGGGATGAAGATTTTGGTACAAGTAAATATATGGATGATTGTAAAAGTATTGCTAGAAATTGCTGTAACAATGATGAGTGACTTCACTTTTTGTTTCTATATGATACAAGAGACTAATACATTAAAATAATTATTAATTTATGTTTTTGGACACAATATAGAGGTATTTTTGTAACCTCAGCAATGAAAAGGTGAGGGCATTGAGCTATTATATTAAAGGAGCAGTATTTTTTCATGTTACTAAAGTTCACCTGGTAGAAATTCAAATTAGAGTGTTCTGTCATGTATTAAATATAATCCCCATGGTAAGCACCAAAAAAAAAAAGCTAAAGACTATATATAAAAGGAAATAGAAATTTAAACATTTTACTACAAAATAATTAAACACATACACACACAAAATAATGTAGCAAAGGAGAGACAAAAAAACCTGCCAAGGTATGTAGGAGACAAAAGGCAAAATGACAGGAGTAAGTCCTCCTCAGTAATTCTTTTAAATGCAAATGGACTGGAGCTCTCCAATCAAAAGTCAGAGGTTGGCAGAATGGAGATAAAACATTATCCAACTATATGATGTCCGCAGGATACCATTTTGGCTCCAAAGACACAAATAGGTTGAAGTAAAAGAATGGAAGAGGATATTTAATGCAAATAGTATCTAAGAGAGGAGAAGTGGCTATGTTAATATCAAACAAAATGGACTTTAAATAAGAAAAAGGTGTATTAATAAAAATTTCAATACAGCAAGAAGATACAAAAATATGAACACTTATTTAATAACAGACTCAAAATATATGAAGCAAAAATTAACAGACTTGAAGGAAGAATTAGATGATTCTACAATAGTACCTGAAGAATTCTATACCCAATTCTCAATAATGAATATATCAGCTTGACAGAAGATAAGTCAGGAAATAAAGGATTTGAAGAACACAGTAAACTGAATAGATCCAGTAGACGCACACAGAACACTGACTAACCATCTGGATATATATTCTTCTCAAGTGTGCATGGGACATTTTCCAGGATAGACCATATGTTAGGCCACAAATTAAGTCACAATACATTTTAAAACATGGATAATTATGCAAAGTATTTTCTCTGATTTCAGTGGAATAAAGTTAGAAATCAATAATAGAAGAAAACTGGAAAACTTAAAAATTTATGGAAATTAAACATACTCTTAAATAGCCAATGGACTAAAGAGGAATTCACCAGGGAAAGCAGAATATATTTAGAGATGAATGAAAATTTATGGCACAAAGTGAAAGCAGTGCTGGGGGTAGAGCCACAGTTATGAATACTTCCATTAAAAAACAAGAAATATTTCAGCAACCTAACTTACAGTGTAAGGAACTAGAAAACAAACTGAACCCAAAGTTAGTATGAGGAAATAAATAATAAATATTTGAGCACAGAGAAATAATAGAAGACTCTATTATTCTTACTCTACAGAAATAAAAAGAATTGTAAGAGTGCCATGAACAATTGTCTGCTAACAAGTTGGATAACCAAGATGAAATAGGCAAATTTCTAAAAACACAGAACCTACTAATACTAAATCATGAAGAAATAGAAAATCCGAATAGACCTGTATCCCTAGTGGCATCATAATAGTCAAGACTTGAGAACAACCCTAGTGTTGGTGTCCAGTGATGAATAAGTAGAGAAGGAAAATGTGACCTGTGCATGCAGTGGAACACTATTCAACCTTGAAAAAGCAAAGGAATTCTGACAGCATAATGAACCTTGAAAGCATTATGCCAAGTGATAGAAGGCAGTCACAAGAGGACAAACATTACAGTTTCACTTACATGAGGTACTTGGAATAGTCAAAATCGTAAGAGACAGAAGGTAGAACAGTATTGCTGCAGGGAGTAGGGAATGAGGAGTTACTGTTGAATGAGTACAGTTTCAAGACAAAAAGCATTCTGGAAATGAATGGTGGTGATGGTTGCACAGCAATGTGAGTGTATTTAAT